AGCCTTCCCTGTGTTGTGGCCAAAAGTGCAAGGAGAATCAATCAGGGGAACCAGCTGATGTCTGGTACTTGATATCAAAAGATGGTTTACTCTTCTAAAATGGGCTTAACAACTTTAAAGAGACCTTTCATCTCAGCAAGTTTTCCAGAGTCTCCTTTTGTAGGAAATCTGGGGTCAGTTGTAGAAACAGCTGGATCTCCTGGTACCGGCTAAGAGGCAGATTAAGACANGAGAGAGAGAGAGAGAGAGAGAGAGAGAGAGAGAGAGAGAGAGAGAGAGAGAGAGAGAGAGCTACACATCTCTCCATCATTCTGAAGCTTCCCAGTCTGAAAAAGTTCAGTGAGTGAAGTTCCTTCCAATGTTTGCCCTTGTAATTGCCCAGAAGCTAGAGACGCCATGGAGGTTATAAGTCATTCCAAAAATAATGCTGTAAAATATTGGACATTAACAGAATTCTTCACGCTCAGGAAAATTTCACTGAATTTTTCTTTTTTCAGGAAACAAAAATCAAAGACAATTTGAATACATTGGTCAATTCCTCCCTCCCCCCCAAATGCCGAATGAACGTTCAGCATAACACAAATAGAGGAAGGCTAACAAAATATTTGTCAGGTATTCTGTTGGCTTTGAGTACTAAGTGCAATCCTAGTTTATTGATTAATTAGTTTATTTATTGATTAGTTTAGATTTGAGTTGGGTTGGGTTGGTTGGATTTGGTTTGATGTTACCTGATTCCAAAATGATTCTGAAGAGCTCACAAAGCTATCTGAATGTTGAGGTAAATAGGTGTCCCCTATAAAAGGATAGTACTGACTGGTGAACAGTAACTTACATCTTGAATGTTAGTCAGTACCTCTTGACCTTTGAGAACTGCCAACCTAGATGTGCAACTCTAAGGTACTATAACGTTAGCCCTTTGAGGCAGGAGTAGCAGGGATACCAGTAACAAAATTTATTGCTGTAGGGTAGAATAACAGAATCTTGAAAGCTGTTTCATCTTATACCAAAAAAAATCAAGACAGGATTACTTTGAGTTTCTTTCTTATGCTCTTCACATTTTCAGGATTGAGCTGCTGTTTCTCCTTAATAGTTTGTTGCTTCCTTCCCTCTTCCCAAAACCAAGTCTATTTTCTTCACAGATAAATATCAAAAAATCAGAGACACAGAAAATTAAGGCTTTTAGAAGTTTGAGAGGAATGAGTTTAACTCTCTTTGCTGCATGAAATAATAAAGGGAACGAAGATCTTGTAACATATTAGGAAAAGATCTTCCTGATATATGTAGGAAATGCAGTTTTCATTTTTTTTATTTTTAACTCAGAAAATTAAAACAAATCCCAAAGACAAGGTCACTTGTTTTCTTTTCCACTGATATTCTTTTAAGAAATAATACAGAGGTTTCTTATATGGTTGAATTCTTATAATTATACATCTGAGATATTCCATAAATTAGTACCATATGGGATTTCTACTAATATCTGTATAATAATATAATACAGAAGCAAATATTTATGAAGTGTAAGAATTTTCTGTTCAGAAAAAGATATCCTTAAATACTGAGCAATTATATTTAAAAATAAGTACTAGACAATGAAAAGCCAGGTGTATGTGTGTGTGTGTGTGGGGTGTGTGTGTGTTAAAAAATCAAGATGGCAGTCACGCTGTACAAAGCCCCACCCCTTTTAAAAGATGTGTTGGGTGTTTCACTTGCGTGGCCACAGCTGCTGTAGAAGAATCACCCCAAGAATTCGTTGAAACTGGAGACCAGTAGTGAAGCATCAATTGTTTAGTACTATGCTAAAGACAGAAAAATTAAACCTAAAGAGGGACAGTGATTCAACCCTTTTATGTAATATTATACAAATTAAAATTTGCATGTGATTGGGTTAAGCATATGTGTAATTCAGTAAAATCAGATAATGGGGTGGATTGCAAGAGAAAAGCGGGTGGAACTGCAAAAACAACAATGTACTGAGAAAGCCATATAAATATAGTTATTTCTAGGGAAATGTTGCTATAGGTTTATATTATACTGGCCTTGTTTCTCAGCTTGCTTAGTGTCTTCTCCCAGCTTTATCAATTTTGCTTGTCTTTTTAAGTAACTCATGGCTGAGCTGACAAGGTTGTTTTCCAAGCCCCTGGGAAGGTAATTAGAGGAGGGGATGTTTTGTTTGTGTCATCACCATATTTTCTCCACAACAGCCAACTTCATTGTTTTAACTCTAATGTTGGATTTTCTTCTGTTTTTTTTTAACAACTTACCTTATAAAGAGTTTTGGAGAAGCTGAAAACCTTCAAACTTTAAAGTAATGTTCTGCATATTTTCAGGCAGGTATTGAGGCCCCCACAAATACCCAGTTCAGTCTGCCTACCTATCCTGTCAATATTTTCTTTTTTTAAAAAAAAAATGAGAAGTGGCAAAATTTACCACTAGGTTTGATGGAGGGGAGTTTAAAATCAGTGCTGATTACTAGCAGCTGCCTGGACAAGCACCTGGAATTTTCTTGGCAAGATTGACACAAGAATTTTGCCTTTTCCTTTTCCCCCTGGTCTGAGACTGGCCCAAGGTCATCCAGTTGGCTTTGTACCTTAGGCAGGACTTGTCTCCCAGTTTCTAGCCTGGTGCCATAACTACTACACCAAACTGGCTGTATTATGGATATCTCAGGAATTCTTACGAAACAAAAATGGTGGATGGTTGCCCACACTGCAAGTGTATCCATTTGCTAAGAAACACCAAAGGTCAGCTAGAGTAATGGAAGGATTTCCAGGAAAGTAAGTGGGTGGTATCCATACCTCTGATGAAATGAGCTACAGCCCACCAAAAACATGTGTACCATATAATGAAATGTGTTACTTCAAAAACTAATACTCTCTTGTCCTACAAAGAATCTGAGTATAACGTATGTTCCATTGTGTCTGCAAATGGAATTGAGTCAGAAAGAGCTCAATGCACAAGTAGTGTATCTGCATGAAAACTTCTGTGTTTCCTACAAAAGAGAGGAATTGCTCAGCCTGCATAAAATTTCTATGGTATATAGTCTCTTTAACTTTTAACATTTTCCCAACACTCAACTGCAATTTGAAAGGATGGGGGAATTAGCTCATGTGAACATAAAGTACCTGATATGCTGAATATAAATCTACCACAAATATCATTGTAGTTTTGCTTACAGGGAAAGAAAAAAAAAGCATGAAAATAGACTTCTTTGGTGTAGCTTTTCTGTTTCGGTTCTTTCTTTTCTTTCTTTTTTCTTGCACTGATTGTATAATCATAAAAACAGGCAAAGTTGAACTATGAACATGAAAGTCTGAAGTCTGTCGTGAAACTTCAGTATAAATACAACTTTCAAGTCCATGTACCTACTTTAAAAGAAAAGCATGGGGGTGTGTGTGTGTTCCGCACAGGGAATTGATTCTGCGATCTGTATTAATCAGTCTTCCTCAACTTGTCCTCTCCAATTCTGTAGGCTTTCAGAATTCCCAGTGAGCAGGACCTTTCAACCAATCTAAATAGAAAGTACCAGATTGGAGAAGGCTAATATGAATGATTAAGTGTCTGTATGTACTCATGCTATCATTCATTGCTAAACATGGAAAGAATTGAAAAACTAGGAAAATTAGCCAAGACAGTGAAGATTTCTCAAAAAAAAGTTTGTGATAATTGATAGACGTACACCTTAAGTACATATAGTTGGGAGATTGATAGCCAGAAATATTTCTTCTCATTACCTGTAGTTGCTTTGATTTTGCTAAAATAGAGTGAGAAACCTATTTAATGAATGTACCCCTCCCATCACATTTTTGTAATCCTCAAAGTTCCAAATATGCAGCTAAAATTCAATAGCAAAATAACAAATTTCAGTAGTATCATTTTGTTAACAAAATACCCTCCCAAAAGGTACAGTATGTGAAGCTTCTCTTGATATTGCCACCATGTTCTTAAGAAGTAAAACAAAAGAAAGCCCAGCAAAATAGACACGCTACAACAATAATCTAGACTATAGAAACACACACAAAAGCCTTCCCTGTGTTGTGGCCAAAAGTGCAGAGGAGAATCAATCAGGGGAACCAGCTGATGTCTGGTACTTGATATCAAAAGATGGTTTACTCTTCTAAAATGGGCTTAACAACTTTAAAGAGACCTTTCATCTCAGCAAGTTTTCCAGAGTCTCCTTTTGTAGGAAATCTGGGGTCAGTTGTAGAAACAGCTGGATCTCCTGGTACCGGCTAAGAGGCAGATTAAGACAATCACTATGATTTTGAAAACTCACAGTATGCCTGTTCGTAGCTCTACACACCTGAGACAAAGCTTTTTTGTCCTTCACAGCTGTAGGATCTGTGTATCTTTCCCACCGTTTATGCAATTCTCTTTCTTTCTCATTTATATACATAGAATGGATGTCTTCATAAGTCATTTCTATTATCCCATCAGCTGAAGTTATTTTTTATAAGTGCAATATAATCTAATCATTGTTTGTTTAGCAACAATTTCTTGCAGTGTTATTTTGTGCTCTGGTGAATAGTAATAGCATACAGACAGTGATATAGTTGGAGAGTTATGTACATAAAATCACCCAATTCCACAGCGCATACTTTGTACCCATAAAATCCCAGACGCCATTCTTGAAATGGCATGCTCTATCTGTTTGTTCGTAGCGGAATCATTATAATCATAGGTAGGAGAAATATTTACCCCTTTGTCTTCTGCATTTATTGACAATAGTGAGGAAACAGCGGTGGTTGTGCAGGTTATAGAACTGAAACATAAAAGCTGAATATATGGCTTTTTCTGGAATTGAAGAGGCACAATATGTAGTTCCATCTGCCCCCCCCCCCCCGTTGCTTTTTTTTTAAAGTGGATACAAGGCGATTGGGTTGGTTGGATCCAGTTTAATCTCTGTGGGAATAATTTGCCCAACCTTCTGGATCCTGGGATGCAATCTAAGAACCACTGTAATGACAACTTAAAATTTATATTTACATTTGACATTTAGAAAATTTCTCATTGTCAGTGTTCATTTAATTAACAGTCATGATGTGTTTAGAATGTGCGTGTTACAATCTGCCTAATATTAATTCACTAATATATAAATTAAAACTTATTAGAAGAGCAAAACGTGAAAAGTTATGTAGGCAGTTTCAATATAGTTAAGACTGTTAAACAACAGAATCCTGATTAGACTGATAATAACCATGGCAGCAGTTGGCAGCTAAAAAGCCACTCCAATTAAAATTAAATTGAGAGCCACTGTTGTGTCAAAAATTGATAGATTTCAAGCTCAATGAGTAATTCCAAACATTACTTTCAAGATAAATTGGAAAAGGTTTGCTTTAGTCATCTTCAGCAATCTAGATTTATTCTGACAAAAATGAAAACAAATTTCATGCACAATTTTAGCTCATAAAATTAATTGCTTCCCCTGTCAAAAGCACCTCCAGTTATATTTGACAAATAAAAATTATGGGGCTAGGATTAAGTAAAATTAAAGTTATTTCCTGCTGTTTCCTTAAAAAAAGCCTTTTGTAACTATTTCCAAATTTTAGATAAATAAAAAAGATTGGATTTAGACAGTTAACTTGTGTCTGCTGCATGTAAAAAAAATGGCTTTCTGCTAAATCTTACGCACTTTCGCTGAATTTTCAGTTCAACCTAATGCATGTTCACTTAAAAATAAATCCTTCTGAGTTCATGGATTAGTCCCAGATAGATCGGTACAGTGTAGTATCTTGGGTCTAAAATAGTGTTGAAACGCTAGACTAAAAGCCACTAAGACAGCAAATGAACTATATATAAATATAAAACCTTGATACAAACAGATTTGATATATATATATATATTTATATATTTATGTATATATAAAATATCTTCAAGGCACTAATGTGATGGCTAAATTGGATTGGCATGACACCTTCACCTTTTTTCAAGCTTCTGATGTAGGAGATGGGATGGGGATGTCATCTTGGTATCAGTTGTCAAGTCTTAAAATGGAGATTCTGGACAGCTGTCCATTTGCTTTCTTCAGTTGTCCTGGAAGTTTAACAGTTTTTTATTTCAGCTGTGGATGTTGAAATGTTGTTCTTGTTCTAGTCTGTATTTCAACCCTTTATTTTCACCATGAAGGTAGAACCATACTGCATAGCTTGCACAAAGTCTTGCTTCTCTCCAGAGTTTGCTCTATGTCCCTATGCCAATAATCCAAGCCGGGTCACCTTGGCAGAGAGGAATGAATGGATGATGAAGACAATTGTTTTGGGACAGGAATGAAGATCTAGTTGCTGCAGTGAAGGGAAATATAGATATTGATGAGTAAGCTATACACACCATTTCTTCTCTTTACATTTCTTAAATTAGTCTATGCCACTAGCTGGGTAATAGCTAGCAAGTAGCAAAAACAGAAGTGTTTATCAAATTTATTGCTTCCTGAATATCTCCAGTAAAGAAGTAACTGAATCCAGTGTTGCAGGGGATAATCAGTTCTAATGTATTCATTAGTATATAAGAAGCCTACAGCCTTAACATATTACAGAACAATTTTCATTACATCTTATAAGTAACAATAATTATAGACCAAAATTGTAAGAGCACAGTCCTTGGCTAGTTAAATTTACTCCAGCCATTCTTTATGGTGAATTGCAACAACAACAACAACAACAACAATAACGAGATGTGCTCCATCTACAACAACAACAATAACGAGCAGTGCTCCATCTACATTTTAAAATCTTTACACGTACTATTATATCAATGTGAGGATATTTGCATCTCTGCATAATCCATTACTTTATGTTTATTCTTAAATAATAAAGGGACAGAAAGAAAGGAGAAGGCCTAATGATTGGGGTGGATCAGAGCAGCTGAGGAAAGCACCCCTAAAAGTGTTTGAAGAACTATCCAAGATGCTGAATATTATTCACTGAAACCACTGAAACTAAATATTATGCATAGGCACAATGCACAGACCAATATTTTTCCTTGATAGGTTTTGGTTTTTTTTTGAAAGCATGCTTCAAAATCAATTATTGTCTTATCTGAATGTAGCATTCTGATTTGGAATTCAAAATCATGCATAATTTTTTGGCCTATAATAATGTTATCTAATGTTTGCTCCCTCCAGATGTATGAAATTCAACATTGGCCAATAACATTAGGAATTAAAGGAAGTTCTCATATCTAAAGACCTCCTGAGTTGGAGAACATTGACCTATACATTATTTTCATCATATCCATGTTTTGAACCAAGGGCTTTGGTCAAACATCTGAAGTCCTGAGCAAAAAGGACTATATCAGATTCCCTCAGAAAAGCCTTCTCCCTTTGGGGCACAGTTTAGGAAATTACAGACAACAGTTTTTCAGTGCAGCTTCTATTACTTTTGTTTCTGCAAATGTTGCAGTTGGGAGAGCACAAGAAAAGGGGAAAATGTCTCTCAAATTCCTAGGCAAGGCCTTCCTTCCTGCCTCTGCAATAGTTCCAGGGGCTGAGTAACTTCTCCTAATGACTGCAACATCTTTGGCACATCATCCTGTATTCAGCCCGATGCCCTCCAATTTCCACAATCTTTTATCATCGGCTGTGCAAACAGTTGCCATTCAAAACATCCAAGGGCCTAACGCTACAATATAGATTACAGGGTATTTTGCTTTAAGAAATGTTTCGTGAAATAGCACAGCACCTTGCTTCTAAAAGCAAAGTAGCCACATTATATCACTTCATCTTACTTTTGAGGCCCCTTCCAGATATTGGGACTGGAAGTTTTTAAGAAGAGACTGGACAGCCATTTGTCTGAAATGGTGTAGGGTTCCTGCCTGAGCAAGGGGTTGGACTTGATGACCTCCAAGTCCCTTCCAACTTTTTTTTATTTTTATTATTATTATTATTATTATTATTATTATTATTATTATTATTATTATTATTATTATTATTATTATTATTATTATTATTATTATTATTATTAAGATTTAGACAATCTAAATGGCCAAGGAGAATCATGTTGTTCCCTTGCACAGGCCTCATTAAGATACAGGAACCCCATATCACTTCCTGCAAACTTATTGAAAGAACAAAAGAAGAAAATAAATCTTAGTTTGTGCTAGTTAAGGTGTGGATTTGGAACAGGCAGACTAAAGTTCATCACTCTCTCAATCCAACCTGCTTCAAAAGAATGCTTATAGTGGAGATAAAATTACAGACAACTTCCACTTAAGCTATTTTCAGTTATCAAAGTAAAGGCTACACACACACACACACACACACACACACACACACACACAGACACTAAATAAAACAAAAAAGAAAACCCACAATCTCTCCCTCTGAGCTGCCAAAATCCAAGTGAAGCATCTTGGCCCCATCATCTGAAGACATCTGTAGCTTCTCAAAGGGTTGCTGGAGAAGAACAACATTGGTGAGGCCTGGCTCCAGGGTGGAGATGGTGAAACCCTTGTCAATGTGGATGGACAGGGTGCAGTCCCTCCCGTTCCATGTACAAGCTGGGGGGGGGGGGGACCAGGAAAAAAAAATATAAATCTACTTGTTAGGACAGGAGGCAATAATAATTTCAAGCCAAGAGGATAAAAACAAAATGTTAATTGAATTCAAATGTAATTCAAATTATAAATCAAATTACCATGAATATGATTACTTCACTATGTACCAAATTATTTTCTACTTCAATAATACAAACACTGAAGGAGACAAAAATCAGAAGTACTATTACTCATTTCTTGGTCACCAAAGATATTGTAAAAAGTATTGGCAGCAACTAACCTACATCTTTCATGATGGACTGAGTTTGCTAAATTTGTTACCAAAACTGGCTTCTCTCGTAATGAGTTGCCCTATCCTGCTTGAAGTTACTGAATTAAGAAGCACAATAACATCCTTGACAAAGAATGGCTAATTCTACACTGGTATTACAATGCAGAATTGGCAAGCAGAAAAGTTTCACCAAGCAGGCAGACCATGCGGTCAAACCAGTTCATTAAAGTTTCTATGGCAAACCCCAAGCATGAAGCCCATCTGCTTGCTCACCAGTTGACACTTCCTGGACACACTCAGCTGCATTATGGCAACCATCCACCAGCATTCTTGTCCATGTGGCTAGGTCCCGGTGTGTCTCCACACTAAAAAGATGTGTCTCCACACCTTTCTTAGTTCCAGTCCGCAAAGCAAATGAGAGTTCTGAGTCGTACAATAAAGAACCTTTTGATGGGCCAGAGTGTACAAGCCTGGATGGATCAGAGGTGAAAAAAAAGGAAGTTTTAGATATAAAGGTCATTAATTGCAATTGGATATGGCTTTTTATCAAGTACAAAGACAGGCTTATTGTAAGGTAAAATGTGTAGCAGTCGCCAGAAAAAAAAAATTAAACCATTTTTGTTTGAGTCTATTATTGACTAATTATGTGTGATAACAGCCACTAGAGGCCACTCTTGTACCATTTTTGTAGTTCCATCAGTTCCCTATCTTGCACCAGAATACAAGAGAAATAACAATAACAATAACAATATTAATTAGATCTTTTTTCCTTTTCTGGCTCTCTTTTTCATTCATGCAGAAACAGAGTTAATTAATAACTGGACTCTGATATGAAGTACTTTGAAGTTGCAGATCCAATCATATTCTAGCAATAAAAGACTGACTCTTGGAAATTATTAAAATGACTCTAGGCAATTCCTCTTTTTTTAAAAAAAAAATCAACAAAGGAGGAGACTTAATTACATTTAGAAATGAAATTAACATCCCAGGAAGGGCCAGGCATATGAACTAGGCCCTTAAGTGCCTGGTGAAATTGTTTCCAGCAAGAGAAAAGCAGGTGTGAACAAAAGGCCAGGGCCTCTTTGGCCATAGGAAAAGAGCACAATGGAAATCCAGGTAGCAAAGGACTAATCACAAGAATCAAAAATATTCTTTCTCAACTGCAGGGGCAACCTAAACATTTCCAAGTGCCAATTATTGAGGAGAATCAAGAGAATTCTCAGCTCTCTTCAAATAAATGTTTCACCCAAATCTCAAGATAATGAAATCTCATTATGTATACAAGATGACTGAATGGGGTGGCTTTTCTTACACCTTGGGGCTCAGGGAGATGTGCCATTTATTTAGCTTCCTATTTAGGCTGACAAGTTCCGTCCCTCTTCTATTTCATTTCATCCCTATTCAGTCTCTTGGCGCAAGGTGGCAGTAAAACCTTAGAAAACCCTTAGGGCAGCAAGACAAACATTCTATTTCTGATACAAGCATTTGAGAAACCAGCTTTCCCTACCTAACTTTTTCCCCTCTAAAATTCCCGAAGACTATTTAAGAGATTTAAGAATGCCTGAATAATCAAAATGCATTTTTGGAAAAATTTTAGCTTCCCTTTTTCCAATCAAAATAATCAAACTGCCAGCCTGCGGGCTGGATGCATCATAGCAAAACTGCGCCCATCCCATTGCTGGCAAAGGCAAAAAAGTCGCAATACGTCGTGACACATCACGTGACGTTGCGAGTTTGGTACCCCTGCTGTAGAATGAATGGCTTGCAACAGCATAGGATGGAAGTAACTTTTGCACTAACAGCCAGCAAAGAAACTGAGGATTGCATTCATATGGAGCAGTCTCTAAAAGCTCCAAGTTACAATATATATGGCCAATGAAAGCTCAGTACTTTTGTAGATTAAACAGTTTTGTTTATGATTTTATCCTGGTGATCATTTTTGTTTATCAATTTCATGACATGGGTATACCTGGGATTCGTGTTTTTAATATTATTAAGGATAGATAGATAGATAGATAGATAGATAGATAGATAGATAGATAGATAGATAGATAGATAGATAGATAGATAGATAGACAGACAGACAGACAGACAGACAGACAGATATAGATATATAGATATAGATATATAGATATATAGATATAGATATTCAGGCAGGTAGGCAAATAGACAGACGATGCATTTACATGGTTGCAACAGATAATTTTTTATGATTTTCTGACCCCAAATGTACTTCAACAAAAACATTTTGCTACACAATTGTTTCACTTTGTTCCACCTCTAGGGTGGCTGCAATGTAAGGATCAGCCAGGCTGGACAGAAGACAGTACTTCATTAAAGAGGGAACATTTCTTGGAGTAAGATGTTGTAACACACTATTCAAAAATGTACCTTTTCCCAAATGCTTTCCCTGGAAGAAAAGAGAACAACATCCCTAAGCCAAACTGCTGTCATTTGTAGTTACCTGGTGGCTATAAGAGGGAATCTGTGAGTTGGCTTGTTCAGAACATCTCTGTTTTGGGGGAGATTGCCATAGAAAAGAAGCTCCTTCTCTGTGAGAATAGCAAGGATATTTTTTGTCCCATCACCTGGGAGCTGCAAATAAGAACGTAAAAGGTGCAGCTGTCAGAATGGCAGCCAAATTGACATATGCCACTGGAAAATGCCCACTAAGAATGGAAGTGATATTTTTGCTGGCATCTTGTAAAAAGTGTATTTGAATAAAGCACATCACTAGGTATATTGGAGTGACAAGTACCAGAGCAACATAATCAAATGAATTCATGGAGTTAGTATAGAATTATCCTTTTTCTATTATTCTTCTACCGACATGATTAATTTTTTGTTATGAGATCTTTCAAGATTCACAGGAAGCTACTAAGTCAGTCCAGCTGGTCTAAAAAAATCTGTACAAAATGACAAATGCTCTCCTGAGTTTCATTCAAAGGCCTTTTTCAGCTATACCTTAAATGCTAGGAACTGAACATGAGACTCAGAGCCATGCAAAATCTATACTATGATAATAAGATAATATATGGTAACCTTTATTGTCATTTTTTTTACTATGAGTACACTGGCCCACATTAAAAATGAAATTCTGTTGCCTGCAATTCTGTTGCCAGCAAGAACAACCTTAAAAATATCTATATGTTCCCACCTTCAAATGAGCAGAAACTGGGGTTAGAGAGGATCTAGTATAGGGGTCTTCAGACTTGGCCCTTTTATGACTTGTGAACTTCAACTCCCAGAATTCCTCAGCCAGGCATGCTGGCTGAGGAATTCTGGGAGCTGAAGTCCACAAGTCATAAAAGGGCCAAGTTTGAAGAACCCTGATCTAGTAGCTACAAAAAAAGGGGGATTTGCATGCAAGTTCTGTGTTGCTCACTCCTGACTTTAACACGGCTTTGTCTTCCCTGATCAATGAATACTACAATTTTTTTTCTCACTAGAATCAATGCAAATCAAACTAGGAACCCCAATCTTACCTGTTCTGTGAGCCAGCCAATGTGCTTGATGTCTCTATTTCCTACAATGCCAAGTCCTGATTGTAAGGCCTTCAGCTCCTCTTTGACTCTTGGCAACAGAATGCTAACATTGCTATGAATAGCATTGAACCAAGACTGGGCAGATGCTTCCTCTTTTGCTCGAAGGAACAAGGAGATCCGTCCATCTGCCGAACACACTTCTAGGTACCTGCAAGATGAATTTTCCTTAAGACTGAAATGTGGGGAGCCAAAATGCAAACTGTTGTCATAAAATGCCCAGCAATTTTTCAGAATTCCTAGTTGCAAAGCCTTTGTCTTAGATAGTTCATGATCACACAGGCTCATAATTTTGATGATCTCACCAACATAGCCCCCTACCTCTTAGGGAAACAGAGGATCAGGTCACCTTCATGTAGCATAACACAGATTCAGAGCCTTTGCTTTCTAAAGTCTGTGGTTTCGATGCAATACATCTACATCTGTTTTAGGCTCAGTTCAGCAAAATGAAATGGTTATGGGTTTGGGAACTATCTGATTCCAGAAAAAAAAAATACCGTATTTAGTTCTGAATAAGGTTAGACTTCCCTATATGGAATTGGAATAGAATTAGGGGGAGGGGTTAAGGCAGGGGTTCTCAACCTTGGCAACTTTAAGACTTGTGGACTTCAACTCCCAGAATTCCTCAGCCAGCAAAGCTGGCTGAGGAATTCTGGGAGTTGAAGTCCACAAGTCTTAAAGTTGCCAAGGTTGAGAACCCCTGGGTTAAGGGCTCATAGTCGCAGTTCCTGCTCAGTGAGCATGTAGAGATGTAGCTAATAGGCCATTACACAGTTCCTTTAGTGTGCCAGCTATAACCCTGCCTGGAATGGAAAGGATTTCCTTCACAGATAGTCATTCCTTAGTCATTTCTCAACTGGACTATTTACAATGCACTCTTCATAGAGCTACCCTTGAAGAGTATTCAGAAAAGTGGATCCAAAGGCAGCAATCTGAATAGCCACGAGCACCTCCTGATTTGTCTATATAAAACATCACTACTTTGAGAGTTGGTTGGCTTCTGTCTTTAAGTCAAGGTACTATCACTTTTAAAGCATCTCTTGGTTCAGGATCTGGGTATCAGCAGGACTGCCCACTCCCAGTAGATTCTCTTCATATTCTTCTGTTTTGGGAATGCAATTCTCACTGATCGTGGTTATTTTTAGTTATTAGCCTACTTCTCAGTTATTACCCCACTTTTGGTGAACAGTATTCTCCAGATAGCCAGATGTGCCCAATTGGTTGTGGGGTTCAGAAAGGGGATTAAACGTGGTTATTCCAGCAGATCTCGGCTGTCAGAATGTTGTGATATCTTTCTCTCTAGCAATGGAATTTATTGGTTTAAGACAGTGATGGCGAACCTTTTAGAGACCGAGTGCCCAAACTGCAATCTAAAACCCACTTATGCATTGTCGGGTGCTGGGTGGGTGTGGCCCATTGGGTGGGTGTGGCCCATTGGGTAGGCGTGGCTGCGGTGGTAACGGCAGACTGGGTGGAGTAAAAAGTTCAATCAATCAATTCCAATTTTGCAAAATCTTTTTTTTCCCCGCGAAAAGTTGAAATTGACTGATTGATTGAAACTTTTTTTTTTTACACGACGGCGGAGGCCTAAAGTGAAAAGGTTTTATAAAACCCAGCTGAAGGCCTAGGACTGGGGCAATGGCACGGATGCCCACAGAGAGGGCTCTGAGTGCCGCCTCTGGCACCCGTGCCATAGGTTCGCCACCACTGGTTTAAGACATTAATATTCCTGGTGACTTTTTGTTTTATTGTATATTTGCAAATGTTCGAATGTACACTGTTCAGAATTTTTTGTGACCAGAGTGGCCTAAAGGCACAGTAAAATAAGTAAATAAAATAGATCTATGTAGAGAGACCTTGTTGAGAATATGGAAGAACTTGGCAAAAGAAGCCAAGACATTTTTAAGTTCTGAGAAACAAGATAATATTAAAAGTGACAATGGCTGATGCCTCCTTGAGTCACTGGGATATAAGAAAGAAGGGAAGTACAACACAATCAGACTTGCAAGATTCTGTTGTTATAGCCAGTCTTACTAAAAGTAATTCTAGTCTTCCTATGGAGATAATTTCCTGGTCTAGTCTACATAGTGGGGCTGACAATCTATCTATGACACCTCTGACAATCCCAGCATTCTTTTAGGACCCATATTTAACACAGTTGTGTTTGTATTGTAGAGAATATCATTATACATCTCATTTTCCTATCCAAATGAGAAGTAATGACACCTCATGTTGACTGCTCAAAGCACTTTAATAATAGCCTTTTAACCTCTTTAAATTATGATTGTCCCCATATTGCTGGGGCTGAAAGAAGGATGAAAGTAACTTTTGAATTATGAATTTCAAAAATTACATTACCTTTTTACCAGAAATGCTTAGTGGTGGTTGCCTGATGTCTTAGTGTTAGGATAACACTACTAGTTTACCCTGAAGGACACTTTTTTTGTAAGTATAGAATTTGTCTAGTGCATTCAGAGTTGTATGAATATGCAAATCCACATACCCTTTATGCATGTGTTCAATTATTTATGTATGCTTTATCACTAATTTATAGAGTACTGTCAGTTGTAATCAAGACATTGTGCTACATGAGGTTCAATATTCAAAGAGACATCCAAGCTTGCAGAAGGCTACTTGTGAGCTTTGCTCTATATACGACTAGTCTAATCTTAACTGCTTGCAATAGTGCAATTCTAATGCTCAATTCAAATCATTCTTTGCCTTGTTTTGACTTCTGATGGAATTAATACTATATAACTATATGTCAGACTCTATCATTTCTGATCACTGAGTATGCAAGTTAGGATTGATGAGAGCTTGAGTCCACCATTACCCTTTAATACATTCACATACCTTTCCCAACAGATGGATTCTTCAAGCATAATGACCTGAGTGATCATTGGGTTACCTGTTTTCTGGATCATTTGGAAGACACTTCCTTGATATGTAGCACATTTTTAACGGGATATTCTTCCCTTCCTTGAGGTCTTGCAGGGAAAGAGTTGGAGAAGCTTGCTTCTGAAAGCCTGGTGAAGAATCCCAACTTACAGTTGCACCAGTTGAGGAATTCTTAAAATAAGGAGAGATTTCCTTCATGTATTTGACTGGAATAGAGGAAAAACAACATATGCAATTCATTAGGTCCAAGTCCTACTTGAAGATTGGTGAGCCATAAACAGACAACTTCTCTATAACATTTAATACCTAGATAGCAGACTAAGCACATATTGCGCTCATAATCCTCCCTTCTTTAAGAAGAATTGCATTTTATATATTATTTATATACTTTCTTATAAATCAGTATAAAATTATGCAAAGGTCCTCTATTTGCAAGATTATTTTTCATTTTTCATGACACATTAGTGATTACTCCATCTGATGCTCTATACATAAATTAAAACAATCATTAACAAAAAATGAGTTCACAAGTAATGGAAAAAACAAATAATGTGATCACAAAAGATAAAACAAACTTAAGTGAAAGATTCATCACAACATTTTCTTTGGATTATTCAGTTCCTAGAGAGCATGAGCTTTTAAATAACCAACGTTTCTATCCTATCTAACCAACTATCAAATTGTATTTATGTGTTTCTGTGATAAATACCAACAATGGCCAGAGTTAGATAATACATTTGAAACTGCATGCCATACATATATATATAGTGTTGGTGTAGTGGTTAAGACATTCCAGCTAGAAAGCAGGAGACTGTGAGTTTTATCTTGCCTTAGACATGAAGGCAGCTTGGTGATTTTGGATCAGTCACTTTTCTCAACCCCAGGAAGAAGGCAAAGGTAAACCACTTTCAAAAAAAAGAAAAAAGAAAACTGCAGGAACAATCCAGGAAGTTACCAAGGGTCAAGACTGGCACAAAAAAAGGAAAAAAGTAATCTCTCTATTATCTATCTATCTATCTATCTATCTATCTATCTATCTATCTATCTATCTATCTATCCATCCATCCATCCATCCATCCATCCATCCATCCATCCATCCATCTTTTAGTCTTAGATAATGAAATAAAAATAATAAGAAATAAAGCATACAAAATAAATTTTAAAATAGGGGTAGCCTAAGCATGTGTAGATACGAAGAGCAATTTAAAACAAAAGATAAACTTTTGTGTTGTAAATCTGATTACAAAATACAATATGCAAGGTCTTCCTTCTAATAAGGATGTAATTGGCCCAAAATGACAAAACTGTTTAATTTGGTTTTTTTTTAATGATACATTATAAAAATAATAGTCAGAATCCATGATAATTCAAACTTCAAAATAGTCAAGAAATAATTGGGACATGTAATTTTTGAAGATTTGTGTAGAAAACATACAATACTAATTTTACTAATAGAAATTATAGAAAAATTTTGATGGCTACTCAAAGCTCAGGCAAAAGGACAGATTTTTTCTGGTTGCCAACTGTTTAATGTCGAAAAGCCAGAAGCTCTGATGACCTCTTCTGATGGGAAATCTCATGAAGGAGCAATCAAGTCTTTTAGAATCTGGTACCCAAGAGTAACGGTGGCAGTAACAGTGGTAGTTGTAATTTATTATATGCCACCTGACCTCCCAATGTTTCTGGGACCTTGAAAAAATAAGCTTTCAAGGATATTATTAGATTGTCCAAATTACAAACTGGCAATCAATGGAGAGTTTTAAGAAATTCAGTCTTGCTTCTCCTGTTGAGACACAGTTCTTGGCCTCCACATACTGGACTAATTGTAATTTTTGAATTCTTTCTGAAGATAGGTCCAAATATAACATACAAAGAAGTAAAGAATCCAAAATGGGTGTGGGATGACTGTTGCTTGAACTGACACAGTAGGTGCAGATGCCATTCTTCCCAGGTTTAACTCAAGCATTAACAAATAAGCCTGCACTTAGCAACAAACTTTTTTTCCCCCTAGCCCTGTGATGGCCTGATAACTGCAGAGTAACTTTTCCAGTAGCAGCATGCACAATGAATCAATCACGCCATGACTATCACATGCCAAAAAACACTCAGCACAGATCAACTCAACCCACATTCTCAAAATGCCAATATCGTTATGCAAATACACCAGATGGTAACTAACCCAAAGCCTTTCTTTTTCGCTTCAGGCCAATTCCAATATTGATACAAAAAATAAAATAAATTTGTGCCCCATGTTGCTGCTTCTACTGGAAATGCTTCATTAAATGTATTCAGCCCAGTTTCTTTCCTTTTCTAGTTTGTGACATCCTCTTCAGAATAACCATCCCTTCTTATTAGATAGTCTTCTGATGTGTTCTAAAAAAGATTTTCTTTTCTTTAAAGTTTCAGAGTTTATGAACCAGGAATATGTATTTCCGATATCTATATGCTATACACTACTCCATTCACAAGGCTTTTGTATTGGCATGTTCTCTGAACTAAATGGCTATGTGGCATGTTTTGCAGATGTTATTTTTGAGAAGGATGGAAACAGGAAATTGTTTCAATGAAAACTATTTCAAGTGGGATTAGGGTTCCATGCATGAGGTTGGACTTTGAAGCTAAGTTCTGATCCTCATAATACCGTTTTTGTGATCGGTGCACCCTCCAGCAGCTACTTAAACTGATTGAATGCAGCAGGGAAAGTGCTCAAAATTTGACAGTATGCTAACCAGATTACATTTTTTACATGTGTTCCCAGCATGACAGATAAAAATCCCCACCTACACAAGCTGTTTTTGACTACCAGCCAGCAGGCAGTGGAAAGCCACTGGGATGCCAGCCAACATCACACTGGGTGCAACCTTATGGGAATCTCTGTCATTGCAATGGGAAGCTGATCAGCTGATACAAAGGAGTGAAAAATAGCTCATGTATGCAAAGCTACATACTTCTGTACTTATTATTCAGCAGAAATGGGACATGCAACGAAAACCATCCATCAAACATTTGGAAGAATGAAATTTGTTATGTACTAGCTAAAAGATTAAGTGACAGACAAGAAATAAAAAAAACAATTAGAATGACCTAGAATCACTTTCAAGAAGAGATGGAGAGAATTACCCTTGGGGGAAAAAAAACTTGAGTGGAGCATTCAGAGATGCAATAGAATGCTGCACTGTTTCTCTGTTGTTCTAGAAAAAGGGTCTTATGTTATAGGAAAACAGGTTCATTTCAGTTTCTCAACCTTGATGGAGTTGGGCTCAATGAACTTTCGAGTTCTCTGGTTCTATAATAATCCCACTGATGGAAACTGTGTTCTGGAAGACATGAATTGGCTATAGAGAAGCTACATTTTGCTGGTATGTTCTGCACCAAGGGTGAAAACACTCATAAAGCTAGTAAAATGTCAAGGAAAAAATATAATATTGATGATATTTTAACATTATAAAATGCTAGATGCATGCTACAATAATAATATGTATACATGTTATTTACAATTCCTCAGAGACAGCAGGTTTAGAGTTATGATATGTTCTTTATATCGTGTGTCTCTTTATGTTCTTATTCTATTTAGTTTCACTTCACACAAAGTCCACCCCGAATTACTGTTTCGTAGGTATATAACTTTTGACTATGAGGTGGTCGACGGAATTGTCGGAAGTGTTCTTATAAAAGTCTTCGAAAAGGTTTCCGTTTCACTCGAAATTCGGTTCCATCTTGAGACCGAAATCTTTTCAGCAGTGAACTTCAAAAAACCAAAACTACAGCTGGCTGCATCCATGATTCTTTCCTACAGATGCACATTTATAGCTGTTCTAACACTGAAAAAATTACAAGCAAAGGTATGAACCACAAACAACTCATTGTCCATCAGCAAGGGAAATGACATGGACTTTGTTTCTTGAATTGGAATTACTTCATTGCAGCAGGTATTAAATAATTAAACCTAAAGGATGTAATAAATTATGAACATTTCATTTAGGCTTTTTTTTTTTCTCAAAGAGGAATCTGCATTCCCCACACAGAAATCTGTAAACCATTTGCTCAATGATAAAATATGTGAAAAATTGGAAAATAATTTATAGTTTATATTAGTTTTGGATCCTAAAGCTGGTATTCTTTTTGTAAATTATTCTGTAACCTATATTTCTTTTCCAGATTCCAGTAGGACTGATTCATGATCATTATTTTCTGTATTGTCATGCCTCCATTTCCTAAATCATGCACTTTGGCCATGCACTCTGTACTTCATGGAGTTTGGTTGTTATTAATAAAAGTATTATTTAACAAAATAATAGTAATCAAAATGAAATGCAAACAAAAAAAATGCCACCAGATGCTCAAAATATGTAAACCTGAGAATAGAAACAATGGTCCATTTGAAACAGAGCCAGCCTGCCTGGAGCTTTTAAGTTTCTAGTAGCAGACAAATAATGTCACAGCATCTCTCTGTGAGGAAAGGGGATTTGGCCTGCTTTAAAAAGTAATAATATCCATTCCTGAGGTGGTCGATTTCTGGCGAATGACTCAGGCTTTCCTCAAATTAACTCAAATGCTTCCATGTGTTGGTGTTTCCTTTAGAAATGCAAAGCGTCTTAATGCCAAAAGTCTTTCCCCCTCCCTTCCCCCAAATCCAATTTACTTGGAGTTCAGATTGGGGGGGGTGCCTTTTTTGGGGGGGGGTACATAAAAATGGACATTAAGCACAGAGCAAACAGTTTTAGCTCCATCAGTGGCATCCCTGCATCTCAGTTTTATCCCTGGTCCTTGGAGAAACTAGAGGAAAAAATAATACTAATTAAAATAATGCAGCTCCCACTGAAAACAGAAAGTTTGGCACTGTTGCAATTGACAAACTGGGGTGACTAGGCAGTTTGTTTGTTTAACCAATTCATATAGCCATCTATCTCAGTACATGGCTCTGGACAGCTCACAGCAGTAAAACAAATACTGTATATATAAATACAAAATAAAAAGAGAAATAAAAGACACAGTATTAAAAGCCCCCAGCATAAGCAGGAAATGGGCTGCACCACACACCTAGAAGCCCAAGTTTGACCATAGAACCAAGTCTTCAAGCCTTGCAGAAGGTGAGGAGGCCAACCTAATCTCTAGAGCAGTGGTTCTCAACCTTTTTAATGCCGCGACCCCCAACCGGTCGTAAGTCGAGGACTAAACCGGTTGTAAGTCGAGGACTAAACCGGTCATAAGTTGAGGACTAAACCGGTCATAAGTCGAGGACTACCCAACCGGTCGTAAGTCGAGGACTTTCCCTGCCCGGGAGCGCCACACATGCGTGGTTCCGCCCCCTGCGCCGGCCGAGGCGTAGCTGGCAAGCGGCAGAGACGGAGCAGGCCGACCACCAGCTGGCCCAGCTCAAGGGAGGTAAGGCACCCGCCGGAAAAAGGGAAAAAAATGGCGGACAGCCTTGCTTGGCGACCCCTGTGAAATGGTCGATCGACCCCAAATGGGGTCGCAACCCATAGGTTGAGAGGGACGGTGTTAAAGAAGGTGGGGGCCATGAGAGAAAAGGCCCTATTTTTCAGTTCCATAGTTGATACTCCTTGACTGATCCTCCAGTCAGATTGGATAGTATGGGTAGAAACAACCAGAAGTAGATGGTCCTGTAGGTAACCCAGCCCCAAGCCATGTAGGGCTTTAAAGCTGACACCAGCACCTTGAACTGAACCTGGAAGCAAACTGATAACCAGTGCAGCTCACAAATGTGTCACATTAGGGAAATAACTGATGCCATTAACTGCCCATGCCAGTGACACTGCACCAAACGAAGCTTCACATGCTCTTCAAAGGCAGCTCCACCAGTTTACAATAGTCCAATCAAGGAGCCACAAGGCTATGAGCGACTGTACGCAGGGCTTATCATCCATACAACTGATGTATAATGTTAAGGTAATGATTTAAAAGCTAACCAGCTGATGTAATGTAAGATACAGTATATGATGTAATGTTGGGAATGACTCAGCAGGGTCTATGTCCCTTTAAAAGCCAGCTGGGTCTGTATCTCTTTAAGAGCCTTATATAAAAAGGGAAGGCTCCGCATAAGTGTGCTCTCTCTTCTGTTTTCCTGCTGTAACTGCTATGTGTTGGAGCCTGCTGTATTAATATGTATGTACTGTATATTGTTCCTGGTGTATGATATTGTAGATAGTGTAATATAAACCACCATTTAATATAGACCACTGTTTACTGTATTTACTCCTGGGTTATCTCGGCACAATAAGACTGTGCATGCTCTGACATATAACATAATTGCCCTGAAAAGATAACAATCTATGAGTTAATTGTAAATGTTTTATTTTATTGTCTGAGAGGGAAAGTAGCATTGTTGGCCTTTACAGAGGGTGGCAAAATAACTTGATCCAGCTTCATATTCTCTATCTTTTACTTTGGGATACAGTTGTGCTGTACTTTATTCAGCAAGATGACTTTGGGTCTCTCTAGAACAAGGGTGGGCAATTAATTTTTGCAAGGGGCCACATGAGAAACTGGGACTGTTATGGAGGGTTGACCCAATGTAACTTGATTTGATGTCCTCAAACTCTATCATCTCAATTCCTCAGGCTGCTCCAGGTGAGGACTGCTGTGCAGATGCAGAAAAGCACTTTCTCTTCTTGTCTTCCCACAACTGCCAGCTCACTAAAGGAGCACATGGTGACTGTTCAGAGTCAGACCCAATCAGCATCTTCTCCAGCCCTGTCTGGCATGCTTATTTACATTTGATTTCTAATTTCCAACTGACCTCAAGCAGGCCAGACAGGGACAGCCAAAGGGCCAGATGTGGCCCAAGGACCATAAAATGCCCAGGTCTGTATGCATACATACAGAAACCATGTCACTGACAATGATTTAATGACAGATAAGAAGAAGAAAAAATTAAGAGCTATGTTGCAATCTTACAGTGTATCCTATTCATGTCCATTCAAATGTTTAACAGAAAAATATGCACATGGAAATGATCTTTTTAAAACAGTTGGAATCTACTGGCCTGGGGTCAGAATTCTTTGGGAACTCTTTTATAGGATTTGTCCTTGATTAATGTCCAATGTTTGGAATTGCTTCTATTCAGAGATGTCTATGAAATTCATATTGCACGATACTTATTCTGACAACGTTGACTAGTAGTAAGAAAGGCAAAGATTTTACACTTCAATTAATATCAGTTCTGTGTGGTCACTACAGTCTTTATAGGGTTTTTTATCTACAAGGTCCTGACACACACCAGAAACCCTCCCCATTGTTTAAGATATAATCAACTTCCTGATTAAAATAGAGTGAAAAATTTCTATATGTATCTTTTTCTAGTTGGAAACCTACACCATTTTGGATTGTATTCCCAAAAGAACATTCTAGTTCAGTATACTGCTCCCATGTTCAGAAGCAGCTTGCCAATAATAATTTCATTCCTTCCCCCTCAAGCCATGTCTCTCATACATACTGGAGAAAAGTTCACTAGAACTTGGCAAAAGTTAGTTGTAATTCCTTTACAAAACCTGCTGAGCAGCATCACTCTGCTGGAATATCCATACATCCTCCCCAAACAGGTTTCCTAAGTCCCACTATTACTCAGTTTTTAAAGAATTTTCATACATACAGAATGATAGTTTCCCACTACATGCAGATTTTTGTTAACGCAGACACAAAAGCATGGAATTGAGAAAGACCATTCATGCCACTATCTCCTTCTGTGTTGGAATACAAACCAAACATTCAAACTGCTTGAAACCAGCTAAGATGAGCTTATCATCTTCACAGATAATTGAGTCTACTGTCAAACTACTCTTATTCTTATGATTTTCTTTCTTAGTAGCCGATCATAATCTGCCTTTGCTATATCTTCAGAAATGTATTCTTGTCCTACATTCTAGGATGTTAGAGTTACATATTAAAAAGGATAGTTATAATATAATTAAAGTTGACCACCTTAACAGAATAACACATTATCTTTCCTTAAGAAAACTTAAAATCTCTCCAAATTGAGCCATTTTCCCATTGGTGAGATTAAGCTTAAAAACAAATGTTTCAAGTTTCTACAACAGAGGTCACCAACCTTTCTTGGTTGGTGGACCAGAGGGAAAGGAAGGGGGAATTATTTTACGCGGGCACGCATGCATGCACACAAACAGGGCCGTGAGCATGTGTGTGACGCAAATGGGGCAGGGCTAGCACTAGCGTGCTACTTGCTAGTCCTGCCGTTCTTGTGCATAGCGCCCTGTTTCTGCACCCCAAGGGTGCAGTGTCAGCCCATTTTCGCACACCGAGATGTGGCGGCATCCCATTTTCGCACCCTGAGGCATGGCATTGGCTCATTTTTGCACAGTGCGGTGACGTGGTGTCCTGTTTTTGCGCAGCATGGTGGTGCGGCATCCGGTTTTTGCGCTGCGTGATGGCGGTTATCCCATATTTGCGCCCTGCATTGCAGTATCCCGTTTTTGTGCCCTGCGTCATGGCATCCTGTTTTTGTGCCCAAGGAGCAGCGGCATCCCATTTTCACGCCCCCAGGTGCAGCAGCGGCTCATTTTTGCACCGTGCGGTGGGCATCGTTTTTGTGCCCCGCGGCTACGGCGCTAACGTGAGTGGTGTGTGTGTGGGTACACAGACGCGTACTGACCAGCCTGCCCGGCGGCCCGGTGGCCAGCAGCCCATGGCCCACTACCAGGCCACGGCCCACAGGTTGGGGACCCCTGTTCTACAAGGCTTAAGGCAAATCACTACCCAGCTAAATGCTGGTTATGCCCACTTCAGTGGCACCATGTTATCTCTCTTTCTCTCTCTCTCTTTCATATACATATATAAAACAAATTCTCACTCTTTTTTATTATCCAGTCTTTTTTCTTAATCATCAAATCCATAAGTCATTAGTGCATTTATTTCCATTTTATGCAAAAAGTCTATAGTGTTTCCTGTCAACTTTTTCTCATCTATTACTTACCTACCTACCTACCTACCTTATCTATCTATCTATCTATCTAGCTATCCATGTTGTTGTTCAGTTGCCAAGTCGTGTCCAACTCTTTGCAATCCCATAGATCATTGCATACCAGACCTCTCCCCCTATCCTCCACTATCTCTCACAGTTTGCCCAAATTCATGTTCACGTCCTCTGCCATCCCCTTTTCCTTTTGCCTTCAATCTTTCCCAATAACAGGATCTTTTCCAATGAGTCCTCACTTCTCATTTAGTGGTCAAAGTATTTGAGCTTCAACTTAGGTATCTGGCCTTCCAAGGAACAGTCAGGGTTGATTTCCTTTAGGATTCATTTATTTGAAGTCCTTGCAGTCCAAGGGACTCTCAAGAGTCTTCTCCAATACCACAATTTGAAAGCATTAGTTTTTTTAGCGTTAAGCCTTCCTTATGGTCCAACTCTCACAGCCATACATTAGTACTAAGAAAACCATAGCTTTGATTGTTGGCAAGGTGATGTCTCTGTTTTTTAATATGGTATCTAGGTTTGCCATACTTTTCCTCCCAAGGAGCAAGTGTCTTTTAATTTCATGGCTGCAGTCGCCATCTGCAGTGAAAATAAAATCTGTCACTACTTCCATTTCTTCCCTTTCTATTTGCCAGGAAGTGATGGAACCAGATGCCATTATTTTGGTTTTTTTAATGTTGAGTTTCAAGCCAACTTTTGCACTCTCCTCTTTCACTCTCAAGAGTTTCTTTAGTCCCATTTCACTTTCTTCCACTAGAGAGGTAACATCTGCATATCTGAGGTTGTTGATATTTCTCCCGTCAATCTTAATTCCGTCTTGTGATTCATCCAGTTCAGCATTTAGCATGGTGTACTTTGGTTAAATAAGCAGGGTGACAATATACAGCCTTGTTATACTCCTCCTCCCATTTTGAACCAAGCAATTGTTCCATGTCCAATTCTAACTGTTGCTCCTTGACCCTCATACAGATTTCTCAGGAGACAAGTAAGATGGTCTGGTAGTCCCATCTCTTTAAGAACTTGCCACAGTTTGTTATAATCTACACAATCAAAGGCTTTAGCATAGTCAATGAAACAGAAGTAGATGTCTTTCTGGAACTCCCTTGCTTTTTCCATAATCCAGCAAATGTTAGCAATTTGATCTCTATTTCCTCTGCCTCTTTGAAACCCAGCTTGTACTTCTGGTAGTTCTTGATTAACATATTGCTGAAGCCTAGCTTGCAGGATTTTGAGCATGAACTTGCTAGTATGTGAAATGAGCACAACTGTACGTTTTGTATGTGTGTTTGTGTGTATATATAGCTTTTTTTTCTAATCCAAGAAATTAGGTTAGCCATCTCCACAAACTTCATCAATCATTCCTCCATTTTGAGTAGTATTAAACCTTTCTACTTTTGAGCATAATACAGGTGATCCTTGAGTTATGACAGTTCACTTAGCGACCATTCAAAGTTATGACATAACCCTCAAATACTTATGACAGTCCCGAAGTTATGAATGTTGCAGTACCACAGCAGTCGTTCACCCTTATGAATGACCGCAGAGGCACTGCAACATTCACCCTGCCTCCCCCCCCGCTGAGTCTCCGCAGGCACCAGGCCTGTAGATACTCACCTTGTGAAAATCTAGCAAGCCTTCGGTTTCTTGGCCTGCTTTGGTGCTTCAGACCTTCGGTGCATTCAAAGAGAATGGAGACCTAAAGCACCGCAAGATTCACGCAAGATCAGTAGCGCAAGCTCTTGCGCTACTGATCTTGCATGATCTCACGGTACTTTAGGCCTCTGGATGAGATCTGCAGCAACAGATCTTTGCAAATGGAGGGAAGGCCTGAAGCACCAAGGAAAGACCTTTGCCACACAAAACAGAGGCCCAGAGGGACGCATGAGCCCATCCCGACCTCCGTTCTCAGTAGCAAAAGCTTTTTGCAAAAATGACCGGAGCCTATAAGGATGCAATCTCTCATCCCTGAAGGCCTCTGCAAGCATTTGCTCAAGGCAAAACCACAGCAGAGAGGCTGGAGAGGAGACAGCTCCCTTGATCATCAAGATCTACTTAAGGTAAGTGACCCAGTGAGGTAGGATGGGTGGGGGGAGGGGGAAGCATGAGATATCTCAGTGGGTCAAGGGAAGCCTTAGGTAATCAGAAGCACTAGCCCCCCCCCCTGCCTTCCCCGTCCTGAGATACCTCGTGCACTTAACGACCCATGCATTTGATTAGCAAATGCATGGGCGAAAGGGAGTGATCACATTCATGTTACATGGTTTACTCCTACGAATTTTTGGGTTACAACTGTAATTGGCAGGCTCCATTACATTCATAACTCAAGGATTACCTGTAGTATCACTGCAGTTGTCACAAATAAAAGATCCACAACTTTTTTCTAGATACTTGTCTATTAGTTTAAAAAAATATCTGATTTCTATTGTACTTTAACCTTTAAAAACTTCTTAGTTAATGTATGTATTTGTATCCAAAATTTTCTGGCTTTTTTACATGTCCACCAAGCATGTCCCTTGAAAATGGACAACATGAAATGTCCCTTCACGCTATTCACATTATCAAGCGCATTTCCTACAGCCTTTAAAAAGAAAAACAGCAGCCATGTCAATGCAAAAGGAGGAATTAGAATAGGAGGTGGAAAATGAAGATCACGCTGATACTGCTTCCTTTCAGTTGCTACTACTTCATTTACCTTCTCTTGAAAGAATCGGCTTGTGGGGAGATATGAAAGAATACGTTCTAATGTCTCACTTTTCTACCACTGTGAAAAAAGATTTTGTTTTTTTCCACTTTATTCTCAGATTGCTTTAGAATTTATTTTGGTGGTGTATTGAACTTATGCTGATGATAAGAGTATATAATGTTGTGCTTTTAACAATGACTTCACTATCATTATCCTAGTGGACAATCACTTAAATGAGACCCAGCAGTGTGCAGTAGCAGTCAAAAAAGGTAATGCAATCTTTGGTTGCATAAACAGAGGGATAAAGTCAAGATCACATGAAGTATTAATGCCACTTTATAAAATCTTAGTAAGACCACATGTGGAATACTGCATCCAGTTTTAGCCACCACATTATAAAAAAGATGTTGAGACTTTGAAAAGAGTTCAGAGAAGAGCAAATAAAATGACTAAAGGCCTGAAGATTAAAACATATGAAAAAAAGTTGCAGGAATTGGGTTTGGCTAGTCTAGAGAAAAGAAAGGAATAGGAGTGACATGATAGTAGTGTTCCAATATTTGAGGGGCTGCCACAAAGAAGAGGGGGGTCAACCTATTTTCCAAAGCAATAGAGGGCAAGACAAGAAACAATGGCTGGAAACTAATCAAGAGAGAAGCAATCTAGAAGTAAAGGAAAACTTCCTAACAATGAGAACAATTAACAGTGGAATGGCTTGGGTTCAGAAGTTGTGGGTGCTCCCTCACTAGAAGCTTTTAAGAAGAGACTGGACAGGCCCTTATCTGAAATGGTACAGGGTCTCCTGTTTGAATAGGGGGTTGGACTAGAAGACCCTCAAGGTCCTTTCCAACTCTATTATTCTGTCTGTATTCTGTATTACAGAATTTTGCAGTCTACCTGTACTTCTGAAACTGGAGAAGTCCCCCCTTGGGATATAATTGAAGCATGAAAACAAAAAAAACCACCCTTGTGGATCACTAGAGAAATACATAAATACATAAATACATCAAAGAGATACATCAAATACATTAGTTCCTTGTAACTAATATTAAGCAGATCAGCCCAGCATTTCTCCAATGAAGCTTTCATTGAAATGGTCTTCTCTGTTGAGAAGTGAATTTCTTTTCCATCCAGCTGAGTGAGAGTTTTAAACAGAAAGAAGGAAGTGTGAAGAGTAACAGTCTTTGTCTAGCTATTTTTTTTTCTTTCTGAGTGGTCACGTGGATTGGATCAAATAATGGTGACCTTAAAGTTGGGAGTTGCAAGGTCAGAGAACATTTTGCTTAGTGAAAGCTAGTGATGAGGTCATCTAGTGAATACTGTGAACCATTTGGAAAATATACTTCTGCCCATAAAACTATAGATCTTATACACATTTGTTTCCAATGAGTGCTGATTTCAAGTTTGTATCAACATACCTCCACACTTCAAAGTTGAAGGTGCTCTGCAGGGAATTTACGTTTCAAGCAACTTGCTCATTTGATGTGCAATGTGAAACTCTTGCATTCCTTTGCTATACCACACTGTTTCATCTTTTGGCACTCCTAGGCATGAAAAGCAATTATTGGCTTATCCTGAGGCAACAATTAATTAAATGCCACTCATCCCAATCCTGACCTTGCTGTCCTGCATTTCACCTTTGCCTCATTCAAGGTTGATTTATATGATTCAATCACCTTCATCCTGCCTTCAGAAATTCCTTGAGATTTCATTAAACATGGACTTCATTAAACATGGGATTCACAACCCACTGCTTATGGTAGAAAACTAGGGTATGCATACAGTTGCACACACATTTAATGATCCTTTCTGTTGTGCATTCAACAAAAAATTGATCAATGGGCATTAACACTTGGAAACACTTTTCTTCCTCCCCACAAAAGCTTCACCTACTGATTTTGGAACATCAAGCTATTCCTAGAGTTCTTGGCAACCTAACTCTGAAATCAACCAAGGCTTTCCTGTTTTCTAGCACAGTCTTAGAATGAACTTTTTGCTCATCATTGAAAAGACTTGTTAGAAAAGAAGGAGGTCACTCTGTCCCACTTCCCATTCTTATTCAGCTAGGCAGATATTATATTTCTAATTGAATTTTAACTTTTTTGTGCTTATTTATAAAGCTGTGCTTGTGATTTTACAGTCACTTGGAACTGGAACGATAAAGAATAACAATTTTTGTCTCACGCATTAGTCAGAGATTCAAGAACTGCAGGAAGGCTGAATCCATTTCTTCCAGGGAATAACATTGGATAAAGAATGTATGCATTGCCCTTCCCTGCCAAATCCCAGGGAACTCTGGGCCTGGAAAGGCAAGTTCAGTCCCTCTAGTTCACTCCTCTCCTATTTTCTGTATTAGATCTATAGTCGGTAAGCCTGAGAGCAGAGTCTGTCTCTCTTTGACTTATGCAGGCCCCTCTAAGAAGACAATAATCAGAAAGACAAGATAAAGCACAACAAATCAATACACAGCAAGCCATGAAGAATGTATTTCCTTCATTTATGAGTTTCAGAACCTTTTCCCATATGATTCCAGAGTTCTAGACTCTTTGGGGCTCCAAGCATACTAGCATGTGAGCCACCCTTGGAAAGGAAAATGGCAGTCCAACTTCATGCACTTAACTGTAGAATAAAACATTCTATAAAAGGATAATGCTGCTGTTTGCAGAAAGCTGCTGCTGCTGCTGTATTGAGTTTCATAAATGAAGCCTCTGTCCCAGTGCCTGGGTGGGACCAGGGCCTGGGAGGGGAAAAGCCATGAGTGGGTGAGGGAGAGATCCTCATGTCTTATGCCGTTGACTATAAATAGCACCCTCCCTCTTTCATTTGAGCTTTCCTCTGATTTCTTCCCATGTCATTAATCCAGGCAGACAGGGCTTGTCAATGATGATTATAGTGCTCAGAAAGTCACTGGCGTTTTATTCAATGATAATAGTAAAAATTACAGAACAGGGTTAAAACCATGATCTAAAGGTTTACATCTTTTCAAATAAATTGTTCAAGAAACAGAAAATGACCCAGCTGAGTATCTCATAAATCAGAGTTCAATAATCGTAGTAACTGTGAGAGGGATCTCGGAGTCCTAGTGGACAATCACTTAAATATGAGCCAGCAGTGTGCTGCAGCTGCCAAAAAAGCCAACACAGTGCTAGGCTGCATTAACAGAGGGA